CTCCCACGTGGCTGACTGCAGTTTGACTCCCGGACCTGGTAGCTTGCTTTCTCACTTTCCCTCTCTCCTTTCTCACTCTGTCCCTCTCTGGTCAAATTAAAAAATAAATAAAATAAATAAATACATAAAAACAAAAAGGAAGGGGCCAGCCTGTCCTGGGTGCGGAAGCCTCTAATGCGTCCCATTAATGCCCGTGAGCCAGTGTGGCGCCAGCTCATCACGTAGCTGCCCCAGCGAGACCGGTCGTTTCTGCGTAAGCGTAATCGAGCGTGGCACAGAGCCTGCCGACTACGCCTGTGCAAGCCTTTCTCTTTTCAAGGTTTACTTACCTGTTTATGAGCGAGGAAGCCACTGGCTTCCCACAGGGTCAGAGATCCTGCTGCCTCGCCTCCTGCCTGCCTCGGAGCACAGGCACGAACTGCTGCCTGGCCTGTGCAGGTTGGGCCGCAACCAATCCCAGGCCTTCCGCGTGGCCCCCGCCTCTGGTAGGCAGTGTCTTAGCAGGACGCCCCCTGCAGCCGGGCCTGTGTTTGGAGCACAGCTCCTGGGCCTGCTGCCTGGTCGCCGGGGGGTTCCCCTGAGTTACCTGACCCAACCCTTGTTCATCAAGGGTCCCCTGACTCTGTCCTTTGCAAGGGGCCAAGTGTGCTTACCTGTTTGTGCAAGGGCATGCCTTAGAAATGGCACGAACAGGGCCAGGGACCTGTGCCAACGTGTGTGTGCTGTACTTTACGTCTGCATGGCTCACACTGGGAGACCCTCAGCTACTAAACAGCTGTGGTTGCATGTGAGGCTGCTGTTCCGAGCTGGGCAGGTGCGGTTGAGACACAGTGCTGTGGGGACACTGACCTACACGGGCAGGCCCTGTATTCACACACGTGCCACCTCATGCACACCGGGTGTGCCCGTCCCCAGATCCAGTGTGAAGATGCTGTTAGGGTCACCGGTCTTTTTTTCTCTCTTTCTCACTTTCGTAGAAGAAATAAACTTCAAAAAATGTGTCATCCTACCTATTTTAGACTACTTGTATTCAAGTTTGTAACATCTCAAAACCATAAAGATATCATTCCCATCAGTTGGATAAAACCAAGTGTTTTTTATTTGTTTTTTTTTTTTTTAAGATGAATTTTTGCTCAAGGGTGTGTGTGCTCACTGGAGAGACAGAGAAAGTGAGACCCCCTCCCCTTTTGGGAGGCATGGCCATGCCTCAGTCCCTTCTCCTCCCTTTTTCTCTCAGGATTTTGGGCATGCACGTACTTGCACCCAGTATGAGTTTCAAGCCTCTGGGCCTGGGACTCGAACCGCAGTTGGACAGGGAATCCAGTGGTGTAACTGCTATGCCACCTGCTGGCCCCGACATGTCCTCAGTCGAGTCTTACAGTTGCCTGCGTTATGTCTGTTGCAGCTCTTCCTGTTTATTCTTTTAATTTTGATCTTTGAAGTGGTGTGCATTGGTTAGTAAGCCTTCATTAGAACATAGATGACATGAGAAATTCTAGAAGTGTTCAGGATGTAGTAACTTCTAGACACCCTCAAGGATGAACGTTTTATCCGTGGCCACAACCTGACACAGCCCTGCCGCCCCGATCACTTCGGCTCACTGAAACAGTGCGTGTTCATCACTGGGTTCTACATGACAAGGTCACACTGCAAAGTAGTCCAGATAGTCCTCTTCTGTGATCAAGAAGCTATCAGTCAGGGCCTCAGGTGATGTGGTGATGAAAGCACTGGACTCCCACTTGGCAGACTGCGGTTCGAGTCCTGGACTTGGCGGCTTGCTTTCTCTTTCTTTTCTCAGGATTTTGGGCATGCACGTACTTGCACCCAGTATGAGTTTCAAGCCTCTGGGCCTGGGACTCGAACCGCAGTTGGACAGGGAATCCAGTGGTGTAACTGCTATGCCACCTGCTGGCCCCGACATGTCCTCAGTCGAGTCTTACAGTTGCCTGCGTTATGTCTGTTGCAGCTCTTCCTGTTTATTCTTTTAATTTTGATCTTTGAAGTGGTGTGCATTGGTTAGTAAGCCTTCATTAGAACATAGATGACATGAGAAATTCTAGAAGTGTTCAGGATGTAGTAACTTCTAGACACCCTCAAGGATGAACGTTTTATCCGTGGCCACAACCTGACACAGCCCTGCCGCCCCGATCACTTCGGCTCACTGAAACAGTGCGTGTTCATCACTGGGTTCTACATGACAAGGTCACACTGCAAAGTAGTCCAGATAGTCCTCTTCTGTGATCAAGAAGCTATCAGTCAGGGCCTCAGGTGATGTGGTGATGAAAGCACTGGACTCCCACTTGGCAGACTGCGGTTCGAGTCCTGGACTTGGCGGCTTGCTTTCTCTTTCTTTCTCTCTCTGGTCAAAATTAAATAATAGTAATTCGTAAATAAATAAATAATTCTTTTAGGAGAAAAAGCAAAGCAGCTAATACCTGGGTGTGGGGCTGCGTGCCTGTCATCCCAGCTGTGTGGACGCTGAAGGAGGGTCGTGGTTACAGGCCAGCTGAGCAATGTCCCGAGACTCTTTTTGTAATAAAAAGGAAAGAAAGAAACTGTAGGTCAACTTGGGGAGCTGCCACGGCAGCGCCGAGCTCCAGACTGCACTGCAAGGAAGCCTCTGTGCTGCCCGCTCCGGGGCAGCGCCGTGCCTGTGGGTGCCGAGCGGGCGGAGAGCTGGCTTCTCTAGGCACATGTCCCCGTGCCACAGCCGTGTCGGGGGCGCGGGCTGCAAATCACTCCTGGAACCCAAGCTGAAAGAGGCCCGAGAAATACGATTAGAGCCTCCACACTCGCAGTGGGAGTTGCAGTCGGTGGACGGTAGGCCGACTCTTGGGGTGCTCCGCACCTACCACAGGCATTTAGACAGGAGAGGCTTTCCAGGAGGCCCGGGTTGGTACGTGCTGCACACCGGGAGGCTGTGCTGACACTGCAGCGTGGGGGACCGGGGACGAGAGGCCACAGGAACGAGGAGTTGTCTGCAGGCCGAGGGCAGGGGATCCTCTCTGCTGCAGGGCGGGAGGGGCCACACCGTGGGCTGACTCCTCAGCACGTCCTCAGCACCAGGGTGGTGAAGAGCTTCCCGCAGGAATTCTCTCTGCACTTGCTCTGGCACACCTCAGTGGGGCAGCCGAGCCAGGGACAAGTGGGCGACTTGGCAGAGCGCCACGTCCGGGCATGGTGCGGGAGCCCTGGGTTGCTCGTGGCCCTCACGATGGCCGCTGTTGGGCCTCACACGTTGCTTTGACACTCGTGGCTCTGTCTGGAACTGCAGGGTCGCTGTTGTGAGCAAACGGCAAGTGGCCCTTCGAAGGTCAAGGCCGCCCCGTAGCCTCGAGGTAAAGGGCTGGGTCCCACATGGCTGACCACAGTTTGCATCCTGGCCCTAGTGGCTTGACAAACACTCCGGGCATGTGTGCATGCCCATCATCCTGACGAGCTGGAGACATGGAGAACGGATTGTGGCCTGATTGCACCTCACTGGGGCGTACTTCCTCCCCGTTTCTCCACTCCGTCCTGTCCCTCTCTGGATCTCTGTCTCTGGTGAGTGCATGTGCCCTCGGGCAACTGAAAAAATGTTTTAAAAAAGGTCTAAATAGCAAACGGTAAGTATTCTAAACCATACCCCACCCTGGACATTGGGAATGTGTTTGAATTATACATGAAGTGTCCTGCTATTATTTAAAACGCAAAAAGGGTGCTTGGTCATGCGCTTATGGTGAGCTTAGCTTGGGGGAGCACAGGTGTACAACAGGTCTGCGGGGCTTTACCTGAAATGCAGTTTCAGCGCACGGAGTCAGTACATGGTCCGTGTCCCGTTTCACCCGTTGAGGGGCCCGGGACCCTAACTGTGCCCCTCGTTTCAGAGCTCTCGGCGTCTTCCGGATGGATATCGCAGCCACGAGTTCTTTGGTGCCGGCAGGGACCGTGCGGAGAGCTGGTGGAAATCTCTTTCCCGTCAGCTCATAACTGAGGGATTCTTGGTAGAAGTTCCAAGTTCCAGTAACAAATTTGTGAAGATCTGCACCCTCACAGAAAAAGTACGTCATGGAGAAGCCTGCCTCTGACGTACGTATCCTCGGGCTGCACTAAGAGGTTTCTCTTGCTTTGGGTAGGGCAGAAATTGGCTTCACAAGGCCAGTGCGCAGTCTCCTCAGCGGCTTCTCCTTCATCCTCCCGGAAAGAGCGTCCTCCTGCCAAGGTTCGTTCTCGGCTCTTCCCTTTGACCTGCGGGGTGCGAGTGGCCCCAGCTGCGCCTGTCTCCGAGCACACAGCTGCCCGCTCGTTTCTCCTGCGTGTCGTCGAGCAGGTTTGGGGAAGGGCGGCGGGGAGCACCCCTGCGCGGTGGCCGCTGTGGTAGCGGGAAGCGGCAGCACCGTGCTCCCCCGTGTAGACCGGAAGGGTGCCCTGGCCGCTTCCTTCTGGCTTCTTTGCATGCTGTGACCGTTCGTCAGCTTTGCCCTCTCAAACTTCTACACTCCGGAGCTTTTCGGAGGAGCCAGCTTTAAACTCATCAGTTTTCGAGGATGGCACGGGCTCCCCTGCCTGCCGACGTGAGGGTGCGGACTCGTGGGCTGGGTCATTGCGCTAACACTGCCGTCACCTTCTCTCCCTGTCCCAGCTCTAAGACTGCGTCCCCAGGCCCTGGGCAGCTCCTGAGTCACGTACCAGCAGAAGCGCCTGCGGAGAAGGTTTGCTTAGAGGCCGCTCCCACTTCCCTCATCCTTACTGATGCAACTTCCGCTTAGAACTTACACTTGATTCCGTTTTCATTAAAGAGAGGGATGGCACGTATAATAAATTAAATTCTGGAAAGTGAGCTGAGAAGACTGAACAGGTGGCACGTGTCCGAGGCTAACAGGTGTTCGAGGAACTTACTTGGGTTTTTTTAAACTTCCATTTTTTTTTAGAATTATTTCATTTATCTATGATTATAATCAAGAATTATTTATTTCATTTTTACGTATCTACCATTGTTTTATAATTTGACCAGAAACAAAGAAAGAGAGGGAAAGTGAGAATGCAAGTTGCCGGGTCCGAGACTTGAACCGTGGTCAGCCATGTGGGAGTCTAGTGCCTTAACCACCACGCCACCTGCCAGCCCTATTTTGATTCTTTTAAGCTTATTCTGTAACTCATTTGGCCTGGAGTTTGGGTGTTCCGTGATGTGCACAGATAAAAAGATAAGCTGGATTCCTGAACGTTCTCATTCGAGCTGCACCCACTCGTGCTCCGTTTTGGGTCTTTGGTAACGATTACGGTGAAAGTCCTCGTAGAACACGGGCCATGAATGAACACGGAGGCTTTTTCTGTGTTATTGAAGAATGCTGAATGTGGCTGGGTCACTTTTATAACTTCAGCCTTGCCATGTCTTCCTGACCTTTTTTCCCTGTACTTTGGGAGGGACGGGCACCGGGCCGCCTTAGACTCTTAGATGCTGGTAACTCAGAGCTGATTTTCCGGGGACATTTGTCAACTTGGCTCTGAAGAGAAAAAATCGTCATTGTGAGATTTCTATCTTATTTTCTTCACACTGAAAAGGTTTTTTTTGAAAGTTCTGGTGTTTTAACTGACCTTTCATGTTTAACAGAAGCCTGACTTGAAGATGTTTTCGTACAACACACTCGGAAAACTCTCACCTGGGAGCAGCTCCGCTAAGGGAAGGTGCGTAGTCCACCCTGCGCCCACTGCTGGGCGGCTCTCTGCTCTCTCCTCTCTCCCCTCTCCTCTCCCCTCTCCCCCCTCTCCCCTCTCTGTCCTCTCTCTCTTCTCCCCTCTCTCCTCTCTCCTCTCCCCTCTCTCTCCTCTCCCCTCTTTCTCCTCTCCCCCCTCTCCCCCCCTCTCCTCTCTCTCCTCTCTC